TGGCTGCCTCCTGGTGAAAGAGAGACTTTTTAGAAAACCACCTGGGCGTCCCCAGCACATTAGCTGCAGTGTTTGGAGGGTGTACTGCTAACAAAATCAAGAGAAGCAAAATCAATGTGCGAGAGGATGATCAGTTTCCTATTGTTTCACACTAAACTAACTTCTAGCAGCGTAAAGCCATGGGCACACTAGGTTTCTGAGGAGTCCCCACACAGATTTTCACGTGGTTGTGCTAGTCTCTACTCCTAACAACAGCTATTGTCCTTGTGGGGGTTTTGCCAGAAGAACTGAAAACCTCACACCCAGCAATACATGTGCACCCGTGTGTATAGCAGCACAGTTTGTCATCTCTAAATCCTGGAAACGACTCAAATGCCCATCAACTGAAGAATGGATAAAAAAGATGTGAGAGTTTTACACAACGGAGGACTATTGAGCTATAAAGAAAGCCTCAAGTTTTTGAGGCTTTTATAGGCAAATGGATGCAACTAGAGTTCGTACTCATAAGCGAAAGAAACAAAACTCACATGTGTAGCCATTGTATTGTCTTCCTACTGTAAGAATCGAAAGATTAAACAAAATCTGAAAGCACAATGGATACTGTGAAAGGGAAAGAAAGAGCTCCCAAGGAGAGCAGAACCGGGCTAAGGTAAAGGGGAGCAGAAGGAAGGGGAAAAGGTAGGAGTAGACACACAAGACAGCTGAGATAATTGTGCTACTAGTTCTATTAGTGCATCGAGAGGAAGCCAGTGCTTATGCTACTTGATGGAGTTTGCAGCCTGAATCTGGCAGTGGGAGCAACCACTTTGAAGATCACCCTACGCAATGTAAGTTAACCGTTGTCAATTTCCCATCATCTTGTTGTGAAATTTTGTATGATTTTTATTGTTCTTGTTTTCTGTAACATAAAGAAGAACCATAGACATGTGTTATTCCTGCTGTGCTGATCCAAAGCCTGTGGTTTTTCCCCTGAACAGGGCAAGAGAGGAGACCGAGGTTGCCTGGCACAACAGGTTGTGTCTCAGCCTGTAAAACAGGAAGCAAAATCATCTTCATGTCACTCTTGCAGATGGGAGCTAGCAGGCTGGAAATCAGTTGGCAGGAGTGTGCTACTTAAAGGAGCATTTCTTACCGTGGGAATTTTTGAACATGTATCTAAAGTTAAAGAGACTAACAGGTTGTCAACCCTCAGGACACGAACACCTGTGCGCTTATCCAACCTCACGCAGACACGCCTACAAGCTCTCTGCCCAGAGAATCGGGGAGGTGAAGAACAGCCAAAGAAAAGAACCTCCTGCCTGCACGCGGTGTGCGGGAGCCAGCCTGTTGCCCTGTGGGCCACACTGGCGCAGTCACCTCTGCTGTGCTCTCTCTGGGAGTCTTCGCAAGGTGGGGATGGGCCCCTGCTCCTTCCGCCAAGCAGGTGAGGGGCAGACAGTCAAGGCTCATGAGGATCCAGCCTGCAGGGACCCGACCTGCAAGGCTGCGCGCCCCGGAGTCACTGTGCGCCTGGCCAGCGCGCAGGGGGGCTGGTGGCTCCTGTGGAATCACAGAGCAGGCCTCCCTCTGCTGGTGAAGGAGGAGAACCAGGTTTCCCATTGGGTGCCTCGCCCAGCCTGAGAGGGGACCCTGATCTAAGCCTGTCCTGCCCATGGGCCTTCACAGCCGCCTGATCTGCCCCTGACAGTCCACAGTCCACATGGGACACGTCAGGGTGTCCCCGGTGCTCAGGGCGATGACCTCTGCAGGGAAACCTGTGGCGAATCTCTTTCTGCCTAAGCAGAAGAGCTGCCCCTCTTCCATCCTGCCTTCGTCTCTTGGCTCTGTTCTGGGCCAGGATGTGTCTCGCCAGCCATGGGAACGTCTGGACCACCAGGCTGCCCAGCAGGCGGCCAGAGGGGAGCTGCCCCGCCCTCTGCTGCTGGGTAAGGGAAAAGCAGCTTTGCTGGTGTATAATGATTTGCTCCAAAATAGAGAATGCAGAGATGGAAAACAGTGCAGACCATTTGATTTTTAAATCCTTAAGATTTGAAATTTTCTCGGACTTCTTTCCCATGCATTACCACGTTGTTAATAAACGTTAGCTACCTCAAAAATAGCATCTTCCTAATTAGGAGTATCACCTTTGATCCTGTGCAAATTCCGATCCTGTCCCTTCCGCTTTTCCTGCCGGGCTTCCCTCCGTCCTCTCCCTTCCTCCTTCTTTATTCCTTCCTCCCTCCCTTCCTTCCTTCCTTCCTTCCTTCCTTCCTTCCTTCCTTCCTTCCAGTCTGCCTTCCTGCCTATTTTAGGGCAGCTCCACTTACTACAAAATTCTTCCATGTAAAGAGTGTCATTCAGTAATATTCACAAGGCTTTGCAATCATTCAGAAACCGTAGACTAACTGTAAAACTTTAGATCAAAGACCCTCCACAGTTGCACCTGTTTGTCTCTACTTTAGACGACGCTTTCCTTGTTGTAGTTGTTCTCTTTCTACCCTCCTCTAAAAACTGACCTTCCTGAGTTATGTTTTTATGAGTATGTGACTGCAGTACATTCTCTGTGCATTCGTACCTGCCCCAGTCTCGACAGACCTGCCTGTTCTAAACACCTCATTGAAATGAAATTCTCCGTGGTGTGGCCTGGCTTTACTTCATCTGGGTCTTAGCTTATTCCTCGTTTTCATAAAGTTGAAACACAGTTTCTGTGGCAGGAGACCCCACCAAGGCTGTCTGTACATGGGGCAGCCAGAGGGCCCAGGAGGCTTCGAACCCCAGAGCCAGAGGAGCCGAGGATGCCGCACCAGCCAGGAGGCCCAGCAGGTGCTGCGACATCTGGAGCTGGTGTCCTCAGTCACGCAGGAGCTCTCGCAGAACCAAGCCCAGGTGCAGGCCGGCCTCACCTTCTGTGCACTCACTGGGGACTGTGAACCTACTGGAAGGTGCCCTCTGCAATTTGGGTAGGCGCTGCTATCTTGGGAACAGACCACAGACATAGCCTGGACTGCTTGGCTGATCTCCTCGGTTACCCCCAGTCCAGCTGGGTCGATGAATGCGATTCACTCTCATGTTACCCCACGGAGGATGGAGAAATCCTCACTAGACACCATTCCCTTGGGCTCCTATTATATTTTCAATTCCTCCTCCTCCTCCTCCTCCTCCTCCTCCTCCTCCTTTTCCTCATCCTCCTTTTCCTCCTCCTCCACCTCCTCCTTTTTCTTCTTGGTAGAACCGGGCATTGAACTCAGGCCCTTGGACTTGCCAGGGAAGTACTTATTCCACTGAGCCATCTCCCTGGTCCCAATTCCTCTTCTTCTTAACATATGACTACCACCCGTTGCATATTTTCTTTAAGATACCTGTTTTCCCGATGTCTTCCGGAGCCCGACGTTGGCATCTCTCCTCGAGGTCTTTAACCAGAAGGTCTTGTTCCCTCCTGTCCTCTGACATTCGTGCAACCCAATGTTCTTTAGAAAGTTACTTGGGAGAAGGTTTTTGCTTTGGGACTTAGGTCACTTGTTAACAATCTTTGGAGAGGCTTTGCCCTAGGTTCTGATGAGAGGGACTTGAGGGCACACTCACAGTGACACTTAAGCCATTAGCTAGGCACTAGTTTCCACGGGCCTTGCGGTTGATGTGGACTCAGACCACGGGCCTCCGCTAGGGTGTGCGGCGCCCAGAGCAAAGCTGGGGAGAGCGAGATTTCCTTTCTTGTGCGGCAGGATTGTCCCGGGGTGCCTTATCACATGGAGCCAGAGTCCCCTGGAAGCTGGCGGTGTGTCTGGCCTCCCATCAGACGCTCAGGCAACCCCAGCTTCCCGCTCTTTCCCCAAGTCCCGAGGTGTGTTCACAGTGTAGACCCGCTGCTGCCGGCTCTCCACTGATGCCGCAGTGTGGAAGGCATCTCCCGACCAGCTTTTGCTCTCAGAATATCTGATTTGAATTTGTACACGTTGGAATGTTGAAGGGCTTGTTTCATTTTTTACTTACTTAGAAATATATTTTAAATTATTTTCTGAAAAATATTTCACGCGGCATCTTTCACCCCTCAGCAGCCCTGGGAGCGCCTACACTGCCTGAGCGGCATGGCACACGCTCTGCCCTGCGTGTACTGGCAAACTCCTGCAATCCCAGCCCTGAGGAGCCTGAGGCGGGAGCGTCACCCAGAGCTCAAAGCCAGCCTGGGCTACAAAGTGCGTTCAAGACCACCATAAACCCCACACAGAGACTCTATGTGAAAAAGAGGAAGCAAAAACCGAAGTGTAACCTTTCCAGTACCTACTAATATTGTGGTCCAAGAGCTTCCTTTGTCTTTTCGTCCTCGAGAGAAGGATAGGTCCGTGGGAATCTCTTTGTTCATTCATTCACAAACAATTGATTCTTGAGATCTAAAAATGAAATACCGTAAATCAAAGTCCTAAGTATATTTTATTGGCAGAGGGGTCACCTGTAACTCAACACTTGGGAGGCCGAGGCAGGAGGGTCGCTGTAGTTTGAGGCCAGCCTGGGCTACACAGTGCGGTCAAGGCCTGGCTGAACTGCATGGTAAGACCCTGTCTCAATAAAATATAATGAAACAAAATCAGGCTTCTCTCCACATTCCCATCGCAATGAGCTGGAGCTCAACTAGCCCCCCACAAAGGCTTCCAGCCCAAGACACAGGGGTCCCTCTCTGGCCTGCGCTGTGGAGCACGAGGAAGAGCACTCACCTCGTGCCCAGCGCCAGCCCCTTGGCCCGGAGGCTGAAGCTGGGAAGAATGTGCAAGAGAAGACCTGAAGGTTGTCTCTTTAGGGACACTGAATTGTCCCTGCTTCGTGAGGGCAGGTGGAGGAGAGTTTAGTCAGTGTCTGGACTGGAAATAGCCGCCAGATGTGCGTGGCGCTGGGCTGGTCCTGGAGTTAGACGTGTCGACTCCCAGGCCTGTCACAGAGCCAGTGAGCCTGGGTCGCATTACACGCACTGACCTCGCGGAGCCCAGCGGGCTGCAGACAGTGAGGCTACTAGCGTTCCAGACCTGCAACTAACAGCGGCAGCGGGAAAGCACGCGCTCCTTCCTACACCTCTTAGCGGCATCTTTGATTTCCTTGTTCCTCAGACTATAAATCAAAGGATTCAACATGGGAATCACCATGGCATAGAAGACTGAAGCCATCTTGTCGTAGCCGAGAGAATGACCGGAGCTCGGATGCATGTAGACGAAAAGTCCTGACCCGAAGAAGAGGGTGACAGCCATCAGGTGGGAAGCACAGGTGTTGAAGGCCTTGGACCTGCCTTCCACGGAGCTCATCCTCAAGATGGTCCCAGCAATGTACCCATAGGAGACCATGATGACCAGGACAGATGCCACACCAAAAATCACTGCTATCACAAACTTTATGACTTGCAGGAAAAAGGTTTCAGAGCAGGAGAGGACTAGTAATTGAGGCAGGTCACAAAAAAAGTGGTTGACAAGGTTTGGCCCACAGAAATCGAGCTGAAGTAAAGCACAGAATTGGATCAGCGAACCCAAGAATCCGGTGAGGTAGGCGCCAACCACCATCTGCACACAGAGGGCGGGGGACATGATGGCCGTGTAGAGCAGGGGATTACAGATGGCGGCATAGCGGTCGTAGGCCATGGCCGCCAGAAGGCAGCACTCAGACAGACCCAGGCTGGAGAAGAAGAGGTACTGCA